TTGCAAGTGTCAGTTTTTTTGCCGAATATTGCTTCTTTTAGTTATTACTATGTACAAATATGACACCCGAGTTGATTATGTTCAAAAACGAAGGAGTTACAATTTTTTTTCGAAAAATTTGTATGAAACTTGTATGAAAAATCTAATTATCTTTTAAACGGCAAGGAAGACCGTAATATCCTTACAGGTGATTATAGTACTAATTATTTATGATTTTTTGGCATACTCCAGATAACGGTCATAAATGCCGTTTTTTTTTAAAAAATCATCAAAATATTTTTATTTAATTTTACATGTGAAATGAAATGATTTAGTCTTTGAGTTGAGGAACACCAAACAATACTTCATGATTAAATGAAGTACTCTCACTTTTTAGAAGAACGAACAAGTCTAAATTGGTGATTAAACTTTCCATTTTCAAATTTTGCGCAAAGATTTAATGTTAGCAGTTACACAGCTGTGAACGATATAAATTATTAAGCAAAATGTTAGCCCTTTTATTGCAAAAAGTCGATAATTAGTTAGTTAATTAGTTAACTACCATCATTAGAGTTTAAAAATATGTGCGCTTAAAATAAATATATATAAATATATATATTTTTTTAGAACTGAAAGCACAACTAATCAACAAATTAGCTTACTCATCAGAAAAAGCTTAATTAAGTCCATAGTTGGCATTGTTTTGCGGTATTGAGAATCATTTAATCGCCTATTCTGACTCATTACAAGACAATATCCTTGTAGTTACTTACTTAATCACTTGTTTTAGAATCATTATAAAAGTAAACAATATTTGTGTAAGTGTGAGTGTACTATAAACCTCTGCCTACTCTTCGGGAATACAGGGGTGATAGTATTTTATGTTACGTGTTGTAAAAAGTTTGTGTTCCTCAACTCAAAGACTAAATCATTTCGTTTCACATGTAAATTTAAATAAAAATATTTTGATGATTTTTAAAAAAAAAACGGCATTTATGACCGTTGTCTGGAGTATGCCAAAAAATTATAAATAATTAGCGCTATAACCACCTGTAAGGATATTACGGTTTTCCTTGCCGTTTAAAAGATAATTCGATTTTTCACACAAATTTCATACAAATTTTTGGAAAAAAAATTATAACTCCTTCGTTTTTGAACATAATCAACTCGGGTGTGTCATATTTGTACATAGTAATAACTAAAAGAAGCAATATTCGGCAAAAAAACTGACACTTGCAAATTGAAATCCCCAAGTCTATGAAAGCCGATTTTCAGCCCACCGTGCGTCTCTGCGGACGTGGGTAGGGGCAACACCAGTCCACTGATAACGTTATTAACGGCGATTCTCAGGGTTGCTTCATTATATTTTCAGCATTTTTTATTATTTTCTTACTGGAGAGCCAGTTGGAGTAGAACAACGAAAGTAACCAAAGTTAAAGTCATATCGTGATAAGATTTTTAACTGTGAACCTTGTAAAAGTGCCATTAGGTACAAGGTATCAGTTTGTTATTTCATAATTTAAAACCCTACTATAGTAACAACTATGAAAGTATTTTAGATAAAAGTAAAATAAACTCACGATAAGATGTTACCTAATTACTCAAATTATACAGATTTATTGTATTGATATACGTGTATCAGTATTCAGTAATACCTGATAGCACATACGGCAATTGCGTCAGTTATAACCCACTCACGCAATAACTGGTCATAGCAGAACTAGGTGTTGCTTAGTGATTATTGATTGTATTATCTTCTTATTTACTTCCTTATTGTATTATTATATATAACTATTGTCAGGATAAATAAATAAAAATAACATTAAGTACTTAAATATTTGCATGCCGCAATCAGAGGCCGAAATCGTTATCGTTGAGTGCTTCAGTGCAAATTGTACACATCATTCATGTAAATGCGATAGAATTTGCACAATGTGTTTTTTTTTTGTTTACTGATAGTAAAATATTTAGTGACACATTGTAAATTATACCTTAAATATTTGCATTATAGGTTGAAATCTGCTCTGAGCAAAACCACTTACAGTCGTTACCTTTTGTATCGAGCATTTTTTATGGTTAAAATAAGTTCGTATTAACCTTAATTCAGTTGATACGAAATGGTTGACTCAAGGTTGTTGCTGACGCAGGTTTTTAGAAATTAGCGCATGCTGATTTTTTGGTCTTAACCTCAGCTGATGCTGATGCGGATATTTATTTTAGGTATTTAAAAGAAAACGCTAAAATATACACCCTTATTGAATCTATCAACATAAAAAAGCTTTCTATTTTCTTTGGTATTGTAATATAATATTATTTCAATGATTTTGTGACATTTATTGACACTTTTTTTTCAATATTTCAATCTTCATGAAAACAATCAATCTACCTAGATTAATTGTTGTCGAATTTTATCAAAGTTATAATGTTAATAACAATAATTAAGCTGCTTTTTCGGCTTACAGTCTGTTTCCGGAAAGTTTGTAAATTAATTCCAGCGTACCTTTCAGGTCATGTCACGACTCGAACATCCGCAATGAATTTCAGCATCAGGGCTGATATGGATATTTTAATTTGTGCAGATTATCCGCGGACGCTGATATTCGCGACAACCTTACTCTTGACTACACAACAAGTTATGCAACAATGCTTAGATGTATTTCACGTTACCGTAAATAAAAATAATTGTGTCTGTCACCATAGCAGCCCACCTCAAAAACATCAATTATAGTTTAAAAGCTGACGCATATCATTTTGTATTTTACTAACAATTTGTGGACCAGTTCCGAAATAAATGATTATTATTATTATATCATGATCATTTTAACAGTTTAGTCACATCCTTGCCTTTACACAAAGACACAATATTGCAAAATACTACGATTTGGAACTTTGCCTTCGGAAGAAAGGTTTCTTATTTTTCTACAAAGAAAATGAAGATAGTTTTTAAAACGGCTGATTAAAATACTGAAAGCTTATGTATAAAATATGTGGTATGCATTTTTAACATAAATAAACTACTTATCAAATATATATTTTACCTATTCCTTTTATCAGAAAAAAAAATGAAAAATATTTAAACACATTAATCTAAGAATTTAAATATGCTGCTGGTAAGACACAAGCTTTCGGAAGAAGGTAGTATTTAAAATAGCAAGTGATTTGATATCGATATTATTATTTTTAGCAAGTTCAAGGTCGCATTTCGTCCAGGGCCGCGCTTAGGCTCAATTTGCATTGCCGTAGCGAAACAAACAGGATAGAAGCGATTTTTTGTAACGATATTGTACATAGCATAATTAACTTTATGTCAATAATGTAACGGGCAAACTAGATACGATACGGTAGCTGCAGGAATTCCCGAGACTGCGCGAGAATTCTGCAAAAGACGCGTGATCTATTTTGTGGCTCGTATCTACCTAGCCGCCGCGCCGGCGCTAGCCAATGGTACAATCGATATCCAGGCGCCTTCTAGTAGGCACGCGATCAAAATGGCATACTTACAGTTATATTTTCCTCAGTGATCAGAGACTTGGGTGCAAATGGTGCAATTATAAATGATGTTGAGAGGCCATAGCCAGGTTACTTTGCTTGCGCCGCGAGAGACGCAGGCTCTTTGGGGGCGTCGCCTAAAGGAACTTTTCCACCGGCGAGGCGAAACGAGGAGAGGACGAATTTGTATGACAAAATTTCAATTCCCTCCTTGCGCACTGAAGATGCGAAATTTCTTTACTGTTAAATTTGTATACCCGGCGTACATCTGCGTTGCAATGCCACTGAAAACGTGTAAAGTCCTCAACTTGCATTGAGCCATCATTCTGACCCTTAGTGGGATCTAACTTTATAAATTTTTGCGAGCATGGATGCAACAATATAAGAAATGTGTTCGCAATCGGATCTATACATAATAATGGAACGCATACAGGCCTGTTTATACATATACGTATGTCGATTATCCTTATTTGTACACTCAAACAGGGAGTGTTCATATAACTAACCAACAAGTACACAGCAATATTGAATCCCCATTGTCATCAACAGGAAAGTGAGGCTAAATAGACCATGATTGTTTTTCAATAATACTTGCTAAGTATTTTAATTAATAGTATAGCTTTCCTGGTTGTTTTAAGGACTTTGTAAAATACTCGTACTTACGTAATGGTATGTATAATATACATACTTTAAACTTGAGATACGTTTATTATAGTTTAATCTGTTTTTAATAACCTGAACATCGAGATGTACTAAATAATTAAGGTAATAAATGCTTGCTTATCAGGTTTGAAAGGAGAGAAACCTAACAAATTGACACATTAATGCTAATCTCTATAGTTTATATAATAATAATACAATTTCGTTTATTAAGGTAACATACATATATTTATATTTATGTATTTTTAGTGTTAGTAACAGTTACACTTAAATACTAATGTTAATACATGTACATAAAACAATAGTAAGACAAAACTGGTACACTACAAGTTATTTTAAGTACGTGGTTAAACTATATATGTATAGTAAAATAACCCACAGGCTGCTTGTGTAGAAGGTCGCACAATAAGCTAGCATCAGTAAAATAAAATCGCGAATCTGCGAGATATCATATTATAGGCTCTCGTAATGCTCGAACGCTCTAGTACAATATGCGCGTTATCGGTAAGGTCAGACGATACTATATGCACTAGATACTTGAACTTGTCCGCTTTATTTATTGGATTCCCGTTTAACAAAACCGGTGGAATTTGTCAACAAATACATACAACATATGTGC